ATTATATAAGCGAATATCTCCCTAGAGGATAACTACTAGAGACACGCGATACTATAGTAAGTAAAGCGGGACGTTTCTAGAACCTACTCTAAATAGCTAAGAAACGTCGCTAATTCGCTAACGAAACCTAAGAGTATTAACGCCCACTAGGACGCCTCGCATAATCCAGATATACGTATAACTAGAGAAGGGACGACGCCTCCCAAAGATATAAGGAGTAATAACCCTTAAAGACCCGGCTAGGTTCCTTACGCTTCCGGGAAAGCCGCGGCTATCATAACTCAAATAATATATATAGATTGACTACAAACTAAGACCAAAACCTATCACGCTTAGGATCGAGACCCTAATATTACCGATACCATAAATTCGGCTATATCGCCCTAAATTGCACCAAAGACAGACTAAACACATACCTCGCGCATATCTAATCCTTAAGGAACTTAGGAAAAGGGAATAAGTCGAAGTGAGCCCTACCCCTACGACTCTAGACCCTAAGATAGGGACCACCTTACGCTTTTATATCCTAATTTAAGTACGGAACGCCCTCGTTATATACGCGGACCTAGACAGTTACGCCGAAGTTAATTTAGTTAGCTACTATTGGAATATAGACCAATGCTACATAGAAAGATCTATCCTTATATTCAACATATAAGATCAGCATTGCATTAATCACGTGACCAGATTTTTTTCTTCTATCAAAATGATATTTTGACCACTTCTGATTCTGGTCCGCGGCCCTCTCCCGAATGATAGGCAGGACCATTTTCCTTGAGAGGTCCGCCTTCAGGCATGAATGGTCCGTTCCTTCGGAGGTGCCTTCGGGCATATCTTGCCTGCGGACTTCGACCATAGTCTTCGAACCTCGGTGAACAGACTTCGACCCTCAGTCCCCTCAAGGATAGGCGGACCACTTTCCCTTAGGGATAAAATGGTCCACCTTTGGGTATGCATAACCAGATACTGCGGGGAAGCTTTAGGGATGGCTGAAACCGTCGATTCTTGACATCATTCTTTTGGCTTTTCTTCGGTTCCCTTCTTTGCCACCTTTATTATGTTGCTGTCTAGTATTTGTATGTTATTCTAGACGTCATTTCTAGGCTATTTTAGCCTATAAATATGTCCTTCTTTTCTAGCAGAAAGAATTAAGTCAGTTCTACTTTCTTCCTTTGATCCTCAGGACTGTGGTTCTGCCTTCGTTTAGGCTATATCTGCTTATAGTCTATCCTACGACCTTTGACCTTCTTCCTTTGTCTGGCACTGACTGACCTAGCCGGACTAAGGTTGATCCCACGGACTTAAGGGGCCACGATCTGCTTCGTGGTAGCTTTCCCCTTATGCTCCAACAGCTACTAATTCGCAAAAAAGTATAACCTAGAATATACCCCGGCTATTGCTCTAACTATTTAGGCAATCTCGAACCAGAAGATTATCTCCTATAGGGTATAGAAAGTCCCTATTACCGCTACCGACTCGAGGGGGACACCCTATAGCTTTATAAGATAATATATAGCTATAGATAGGGACCTACGCCTAGAAGGCAGCCCCGTCCTTTTATCGATAACTATAATTTAAGACCTTTAAATCTATTTATTACTAGACTAATAATAGTGATTCGAGGCAAAAGAGTTCTCCTCACTTAGCCCGCAGTAATTCACTAAGGCCTGCCGAAACTATACCTATATTTATACCGCGATCTAAATACCAGAAGATATATAGCTTCCAAAGGATAATAAAGAAACAGAGACTATATCCGAACTAACACTACTAGACGAACTAGAGATATTTCGTGATATATTCGCGGCCGATTAGTTAAAGATTCTGCTAATACAAAAGTTAACTAACTACACTATCGAACTTAAGGAAGGGGTATTACCCCTTTATAGGCTAATATATCCCCTCTCGCAAACCGAACTCGCGGAATTAAGGAGATATCTTAACGAAAACCTCGTAAATAGATATATCCGACCCTCTAAGAGTCCCGTAGGGGCGCTAATCCTCTTCGTACCGAAAAAGGACGGTAGTTTACGTCTCTGCGTAGACTACCGAGGATTAAATAAAGTCTCAGTTAAGAATCGCTATCCTTTACCCCTTATTTCGGAGATCCTTAACCGCCTTTCGGGTGCAAAATACTTTAGCAAAATCGATATATAGGATATATACTACCGAATCCGAATAAGAGAGGGCGAAGAATAAAAAATAGCCTTCCGGACATAACACGGCCACTATAAATATATAGTGATACTATTTGGACTCACTAACGCACTAGCTACCTTTCAAAACTATATTTATACCGCGTTACGTGGCCTACTCAATATAATCTATATTATATACCTAGACAATATCCTTATCTTCTTATCAGACTACGAGTCATACACGAAATACCTTCGATAAGTCCTCGAAAGGCTAAAGGAAATATAGCTCTACGCAAAAATATCTAAATACGTATTCTATTAAGACTAAGTGGAATTCCTCGGCTTTATGATTAGTAGCTAAGGTATCTTAATAGACCTATAATATATTATCGCTATCGCGTCCTAGGAAATACCTAAAATATTCTATAATATCTAAGTATTCCTAGGATTCTGTAACTTCTACCGGCGTTTTATTAAAGGATACTCCCTTATTACGGTCCCTCTTACTAACCTTCTAAAGGGAAGCTAGAACAGCAAGAAATAAGGGAATATAGATCTAAACGATATCGAAAAGGTAGCGTTTTAATAACTAAAAGATACCTTTTAGTAAGCCTCACTCCTTAAATTCTTCGACCTAATAAGATATATCCGAATTAAAACTAACGTATCTAACCTAGGGATAGCCGGGATAATATTATAACCTAATAATAAAGAGCGATAGCACCCCGTAGCGTTTTAGTTAAGAAAATTTACTAGCGCAGAACTAAACTATAGCACCCCGGACCAGGAACTATTCGCTATTATATATTTATTTAAGTAATAGCGACACTACCTAGAAGGAAGTAAGTACCCTATCGAGGTCCTCTCTGATTATTCGAATCTCTAGGGCTTTATAAAATAGCCAAAAATTAATAGACGCTAAGCCCGGTAGTGTTTATTCCTTACCCCCTTTAATTTCGTGATTAAATACCGAGTAGGTAGAATAAATCCTGCCGATAGCCTCTTATAATAGCTAAATAAAGATATAGCTCTAAGAACAGAGCTTCTAAACCTTATTCGAGAGCGAATCGTAGGTGTTTCAGAGGTCAAACTAAGAGACCTCCTAGCCGGCAAATCCTAGTTAGAGTATAATAACTAGGAAGAACCTAAACTCCGTGTGCGAATCCCTATTAATACCTAAGTGAATCGAGGCCGGGGCGATATAGAAATAGCTAACTAGGCTATCTGGGAGGAGTTGATAGACATTGACATGGGTTGTCCATGGGCAGAAGGTTCGACCCATGACCCAACCCATGGGTTGCCCACGCTTGGGCAGCGGAACCTGACCCGTCCATGGGTTGGGTTGGGTTAACCCATGGGCAACCCATGGACACCTAATCCTGCCTGATTTAGGATTTTCGGCCTGATTTGGCCTGATTTGGCCTGATTCAGCCTGAACTTTTTGCATAATTTTTAGCTTATTTACCGTTTCTTACCTTAGTTCTGGTCTAAACGCATACCATTCCCTCTTTTTTCATCCTTCCCTACTGTATTTATATAAAATATGATCGTTTATACCTAGACTAGTACGTTTTGTATCGGTCGCATAAAGAAGACTAATTATTATCGTCTATAATAGGGTAGTTGTGTTTATGTTAGTGGTATAGAGCAGAAATATATATTTCCCGTAGATAAGTGTACTACCACTTTCTGTTGGAGATTCTTCTTTAATTTTTAATTCACCCAAATGTCAATATTAAGCTATGATATTTTGTGTACGTATTATCTATATATATCTCTACTTTATCTCCTAGTTTAAGAGCTTATATATTTGATTTGCGTGAGTAGTGAAGATAAAGACTAATCCTTTCACGGACTTAGAGAGATTGATTCTGCAGAATAGGTGTGTGGGTCCGTGAGACCAATGACATCAGATCAAAAGACCCGCTCAACACGCGTTATAACCAATTAACGCGTGTATAGTCCTACCCGCTATTTATTCCATGGTTCACTTCCTCCCTACTTCACCCCTACTTTTACGTTCTTTCGCGTTATTATGGCTAGATCCTTATCTGAACACTTTGATTCTATCACGAGTGATAGTATCGACCCTCTTCTATCTGATTGCTGCTTCTCTATCCCACCCTCCTCGGTTCCTGAAAGCCAGTCTACCGCGCCTATTACTACCGAGCCCCCACCGATCCTTAAACGCGTCGGACCTAAAGAGAAACTATATCCTATGGACCGATATAAATAAGGCTATATTTATCTAATGGTGGCTTATAACAATATATGGGCAGAAACCACGAGCGGAATATCCCCGGTGGGATAAAAGGGGCTTAATATCCGAGGTTTAGACACACTTTGAATAGGGCGCAGAGATCTCTACTAGTAGACCATATATTATCTATAAGGACTGTGGCCAGATCTATGCGTATAGTCCTAAAAATGGGACGAATATTATAATAAGGTATAGAGAAAGATGCCTACTAAAGGGTAAGCTAAAACAGAGAAATATCCAGGCGGCTATCCGTACCCAGGTAAGACAAAGGTGAAAGAGAAGTGAAAGAGAAGTGAAAGAGAAGTGAAAGAAAAGTGAAAGAGAAGTAAGACTAATACTCCTTTATTTGAATCACTAAGCTCTATACGCTCCCCCGCCCGACGTATAGGATAAAAACGATTAGAAGAAGCAGCTTTTGGTCACAATCACTAGCCTTCGTCTACTATTCCAGATTATCGAAAACTAGCACTTTCGAGACCTTTTACGCTTAACCTAATAAGCCTCTTCCCTCCCTATTATCTAAATAGGTAAAACCCTTACTCGTTAGCTTTAAAGCACCGTCCAAATCTAATAGTAAGGTATACTAAATATGCTTCTGTCAGACGCAAAGCTATCACTTATACTTAACTGCTGGACGTCGCCCTTTTATTAGGCGTTTATGGCTATCACTGGGTATTTCCTTAATAAATAGTGGGAATATAGGCAGATCCTACTCGGTTTCGAACCCCTCGAGGGTATATATACTAGGGAGAACCTTACTTTAGCCCTATATACTGTTATTAACAGATATAGGATTAAAGATTAGATTCTGGCTATCACCACTGATAATGCGTTAAATAATAAGACAATGTTTGATAAGGTCTAACGGACCTATCCAGATATCTCTATTGTTTATATTCCGTGTATGGCGTATATGATTCAGCTTAGCCTTAATAAGCTCCTATATCGGATCAAAGCAAAGCCAAAGAACGACACAGTGGATATAGTGTGGACCGATAAGCTACAGAAGGCTTCTACCTAGCGAGGACAGAAAGGGGATATTGCAAACACCCTCGATAGGGTACGCCGGCTTACAATATATATTAATGGAAGCCTATAAAGGCGTACGGAATTCCTTAGGCTTCAATCGATAGAACCTAGTTAATTAGTCCTAATTTAGGACGTCCGAATACGGTGGAATTCCACCTATCTGATATTATAAAGAGCTAAACGACTATAACTATACTTTAATAGGTACTGCTATATTAAGTGCCTAGAGAACCTAAAGCTTAATTCCGAGGAATAGCGATAGGTTAACTATCTTCTTTGCCTTATAAGACTATTCTTCCTATATATAAGCATATTCTCAAAGACAAAAGACGTGACTATCCATTAGGTATTTAAGCTTTATAATAAGCTATTTAAATACCTCGAGGCGTTAATCAGTCAGCTTAAAAAGAAGAAGGTACGCTCTTACTTTTCTCTCACTTCTCTCTTACTTTTTATTTACCCTTATACTAACGAATATTAGATTAAATAGAAGTAATAGATACTTATCGCTCTTAAAGCAGGCCTACAGAAGCTCCGTAAGTACTACGTAAAGACCGATTAGCCTAAGGCTAATAATATATATACGCATAGCACTATCCTCGCACTAAAGGATAAGTTACAGTACTTTAAACGCAAGGAATAGTCTGGTGGGCCAGAGGGCTCTACTTAGATATAGGCCGAACACTATCACAGCACCCTTTAAGATCGGATTAAAGCTTATTAATTCGAAGAGAATAACACCCTTCTATCTAAAGCTTATATATAAGGGTCGGAACTTAATCGGTTACTCGAAGATAAAGGTGAATCTAACCTAGACCGGGATAAACTCGCACGGTATCTTTAAGCCAATAAGCCTCTTTATTTAAGTCTCCTCTACTCCTCTTTTAAGTTAGCTCGACTCCACTTTTAAGTCAGACCGACTTCTCTTTTCAGTTAGGTTAACTCCTCTTTTTAGTTAGGTCGACTCCTCTTATAAGGTTAATCCCTTATATTTTTAAGTCTAAGCGACTACTCCCACGAGTCTGATCGACTCCTTCCATAAGTCTGATCGACTCCTTCCACGAGTCTGATCGACTCCTTCCACGAGTCTGATTGACTCCTCCCCCGAGTCCGATTAACTCCTATTTAAAGGCTTGCTCGCTTATTAAGCCTCTTTACCCTCTTTGCTTACTTCTCTTTCTCTTTAGGTGTTATACGCACTACCCCCTCAGGCCTTCTGGAGAGACTATCAATTTGAATATCCTACCCTCGCACGGGTAGCCCGCGATATCTTCTCTATTCCCGCTACTGGTGCGGGGGTAGAGAGGCTATTTAATTTAGCCCGCGACGTTTGTTATTATCGCCGAGATCGTCTGAACTCAATAACTATCTAGGATCTAATGATGTTCTCTTGCCTTACTCAATTTGAGATAGAAGATGAACAGCTTGAACTAGCTCGGGCTCTAGAGATCCCTGAAGAAGGTGACAAAAGAGTGTTTTATCTGATCATGAAAGTGAGCAAAGTGATAATGATAATAGTGGTTTACCCTTAATGAGCCAAGTACGGCATTCTGGAAGGGTAAGGAAGGCGCCGAGGATACATAAAGGGTTCGAAATTAGTAAATAGTTTAGTATTTAATTAATCTCACTTGATCTTCACTTGATCTTCACTTCCTAAATAAATGCGGTAATATTCTGTCTAAATATTACCACTCTAATACATTAAATACTACATAAATTGTATAACTTATGTCTTACGGTACTATGGGTTGCCAAGAAACCCATGGGTTAACCCGTCTATAGGCAGCCAGACCTGACCCGTCCATGGGTTCGGGGTAGGTGTCCAGGACCCGTCCATGGACGGGTTGGGTTTGACCCATGGACCCAACCCATGGGTTATGTCAATGTCTAGGAGTTGAGTTACGCTTAACGGTTACCCCAGAGTATAGTATAGAGTGCTAGTGCTAGTGAGAACGCTTATACGGAGCACGTAAGCGCTAATCTACGAATCTAGGTTAAGAGAATCTAGGATAACGATCCGGAGACTCAGAGCTAAAAGATAGCTATTTCGTAAGGGAAATAGCGTATAAAAGGATAGTCTATTAACCTTAATAGCCTACTACGCTATAGAATACGCCTTTATATCCTTACGGGGAGTAACCTAAAATAAAAATTGCTATAAATCTACCACGACGATCCCTTAGTAGGACACTTTAGGAAATATAGGACGACAGAGCTCCTATAACGGAAATATTATTAGACGAATATATACTAAGACGTTACAGAATATATAAAAACCTACTCTGTCTGCTAAGGAACTATAGTACCTCGGTATAGGCCGTACGGTAACCTTAAATCCCTACCGTAACCTTTACAACTATTCGCCAAAATCTCTATAGACTTTATTATAGGTCTACCCTTAGTGATCTATAAGAACGAGCCTTATAATATAATCTTAGTTATTATCTGCCACTTTACGAAATAGTGCCGATTCATCCCCGTTTTAATAGCGATTAACGCTAGTTCCCTTATCGTTATAATATATTATAAGATCGAACTCTAGTTTAGCCCACTAGAAGGTATCGTATCCGATAGAGGCCCTATCTTTACTAATAAATTCTGGTCAAAACTATATTTTTACTTAAGGATAAAACTCCGATTTTCTACGGCTTTCCACCCACAGACAGATAGCTAAACAGAAAGGATAAATTAAACCCTTAAGCACTACTTACGGTGTTTTGTGGATATCAAGTAATAAATATAGCCGAATCTGCTACGAATTACAGAGTTTATATATAATAATACTATAAATACCACTATAGGTATCTCGCCCTTCTAAGCCCTTATAGGATATTCCCTAAATTTCTAATTACGCTCCGAGGCCAGAGCACTAAAGAAGGAAGTGCTAGCCGTAGCAGATTAAATATAAAAGCTATATAATCTCCGTAAAAAAATAAAGAAAATATAGCGAAGAGCTACTAAAACTATAGCGAAGCACTATAATAAACGCTACACCCTAATTAAATTTAAGCGTAGAGATCTTATAGCCCTTTTAACCTATAAAACTTAAAGCTAAAGATACCTATAAGAAAACTCTTACCACGCTTTATTAGACTATTTCGCGTACTTATAACAGTCAGAACATAAGCGTATTATCTAAGCTTACCTAACTAATACTCCTAGTTATATAACGTCTTCCCCGTGACCTTCCTTGAGCCCTAGCACTAACATAAATTAGACGCGAACCCACTTTTAATGCCAGAGCTCGCGGACGATAATAAATAGGAGGTTAAGGAGGTTAAGGATAAGAAAATCTTCCGTAATAAGATACACTTCCTAGTTAAGTAGAAGGGATAGCCCGCAAAATATAACTAATAGTTACTAGAAGTGAATATAAAGAATACCTAAGAAGTAATATAGGACTATAGGAAAAAGAGAAAAGGCAGAAGAGTTCATTAAAATCCTAAGAAAAGATCCCGACCCAAAGTCGGCCACTATAAAAACAGTAAGAACAAAATTAGGTATTTAAGGTTTCACACACGAAACCTCCACAAAGATATACCGATATATTAAGGAAATAAGACCAAAAGGTCAAAGCATAAAAAAAAGATAGGCTATAATATTATTAATAATCGCCGCACTATTAGCGTCTCTATCCGCGTACTAGAGGCGAAGCGCGGCCGAAATATTATCGCGGAAGGTTAGCTTCGTAACCCGCTAGGAAGTAAACACAATATCTATAGGGGACAAACGAGGGACTAGCGAAGCCTCCTATAAGAGATAGTAAATATTAGACGCGCTAGGGCTAGGGTTATCGATAGGAATAAGGAGATAACTAGCTAGATATATCTAGTAAATAGCGAAGTTAACCTACAGAATCGTTAGCGAAACTTATACTAAACGGGCTTCTAACTTATAGGCTTAGTGGCACGCGTAGTGCCTAGGTTATAAATACTAGAGTGACGAGACACTAAGTATAGAAAGTTAGTGATAAGGGCGCGAACTACCTCCTCGGCACGGATATAAATAGTATTAGACCAGATAGGGTCACTAATAATAAGCTCACTATCTTTGTCCGCCTCCTTAGCAGACTTAGTAACGATAGCCTAAATATCCGCGATATACTTAACTAAATTAACTATATTAATTAAGTCACCTTATATACTAAAGGGAACCTAGATAGGTTAGTAACGAAATATAACCGAATAGAAAAGATAAATAAACCGAAGGGCAAAGACGATTAGCACAGAAACATACTTAGTATAGGACAGAACTTAGCGTATCGCGTATATAAACTACCGAGAAGGCGCTCTGCCTATCCTAGTCTCGGAGGGAGCAATAGGCGTAGGGAATATATTAGGTGAGCTCGGGGATCAGAGATATATCCCGCAAAGGGCGACGGCTAGGGGATAAAGGGGCAGATATATTAATTCGCGAGCGAAATAACGACAAAAATAGAGAAAAAGAAAAGAAATAAAGAGAAAGCCGAACTAGTAATAAGTTATAGCCAAAGAATAAACAAAAAGAAGTCAAAACGATACCGAATATAAGTACTAAGGAGATAGAAGAGAGTTATTAAAGGGGGAAGAGTAAGGGGAGAGAAGTAAGAAAATATATAAGTAAAGATATTAATAATATATATAAGAAAATAATAATAACACGCTAGAAAACCACTAATATATAACCAGAAAAGACACACGCAAACATATATTACTATTAGCTAAATCAAATATATAACCTCGCGCGGTATAATAATATTATTACCCTATCGCGCCTGGGTCTGCCGCGAAACTAAAGGGAGTCTAATGCTATTTATAACTCTTACGTGACATACCTTAAGTATAACGATACCTAGGGCTTATCCCTATTATATAATCCGACCCTAGGGAGTCACGTGCCACTAGATAACGTTATACCAAAGAACGACTAAGAGAGAAAAAAAAAAATTTTTAATTACCTCCGGGGCCCATTATCTCTAGAAGGGGAGGTAGTTATAAAGGAATACTAAGGACTAGCGGTGAAGGTTTGCCCCGCAGTGGGATAAGCAAGTCTCGGACCCAATTCGTACTTAAATCGAGAGGGTTTCCAATTAATCTAGACTTAGCAAGAATCAGTCTTGCTTCTACAATACTACACCTAGTCTAGACATCCTTCCTTACCTAACCGACAGGCTTTCTATCCTGAACACATAGATCCTTTACATATTTATTCCTTTTTTTCTTTAGTCGCTTTTACTTTATTTTTTGTTAGCCTAAATACTAAAAATAATCTAATTATAACTAATTTTATTATCTAATTTAACTATTCGATCTCGAATATAGTTTATACCTATATACGTCTGTTAGTCTATAAGCCAATTATATAATCGCTTTAGAATTACGAAATAGCCTATATCTAGCGGCTATAATAGATATAAGCTATGCGGTAATATATAAATAGGTATAATATCGTTTTTAGTGTATAGACGATCAAATTTAGGCGTAAGGTGGCTTCTATAACTATTAAGAATTAATAGCCTATATCGACTACGTAAACGGCTTACGGTCAAAGGAATAAATAGCTTTTAAAGCTATCGAAGCCTAATATCATCCGATATCCACCTATTTAGGCTAACCTCGAAGCGTTAGTCCCTTAGAGTATCATAGAACCATAATTCGATATAGCGCTTACCTTTAAATATAATTAACGGCGGCAAAGCCTAGCCTAAAGTATTAATAGTCTTTATTACAGTTACCTATTCCCGATTACCTAGCTATAGAATAGATTGTCGTCTATAATATCTAGCTTTAGTAACTACCCTTACGGTAGAAACTAAGCCTATTACGAAGCCGGTTTTATCGAAGTTATAGATATTATTAGGTAGGATACTATAGCGCGTAATAGTCTCCCTAACTAGCCGAGACTAATTATTTAATACCCGCGGATCCTCCTATTCTGTATATTAATAATTATACTGACGCGAGAAACGTATTTAGATAGCTAATATACGCTTAATATAGTTTCTAACCTAATTCACACTAATCGTAAAGGAACCGGTAGCCGAAAGAAGAATATTAGCTATATTACGCACTATCGCATACCTAGGGGATATACCGCGGTTATCTATAGATAGAATCCACTTAGTAAGCGTATCCTTATCTAACTGGGTTATTTTATGGCCATTAGCGCGGGTAGTAGCCTTCGAAGGAAGACCATTAATGCGGTCGCGTAGCGTAGACCGCGGTATGCTATAGACGCGCGTAGCAGCCGTAATAGTCGGAATATCCTTATTTTTGAAAGCCTGGATTATAAGCTCGATCCTACCCTCTTAGTGGATAGCATTCTGGATTATTTTCGACCGAATTAGTGGCATAATAATGATTTAATTGGGGGGGGGGGAATACGCGGAGACGCGAAATTGGATGGGGTGGCGGTTGGCTTGTGGTGGCGAGTGGCTTGTGGATTACGTTAACGTTACTAGGGAATATAATATAGTCTAATAGGGATTACTGGGGGTATAGCTAAAATTAGACTTATATGTTTTAAGCTAGGGTTCGGGAATAAAAGTCTAAGAGTGTAGTAGTAAATCTGATTTCGAATACTACTGTACTATACGTCATGATCGTCTCGTCACACGCACTCTTCGCTTCCGCTCCTTTGACTCCTAATAGAAGGCTGCAGTGGCTGTACAGTAAACTAACATTTATGGCAAAGATACTTTTTCTTCCTATGGCTTCTGTTATCCACTGTGATTTTTATTCGTTGCCCTTGTCCATCGAAAGCTGGTAGAGCAATATTTGAAAACAGATTTCCCTATTTACACTCACGAATTGTTTCTCGGCCGGTATCCGAAACCACGGTAACTCGTAATGGGCTAAGCCGTCAATAACCCTTTCAAAGAATAGATACCTTTCATTTCCAGAACGATTGTGTGACGTATAATACTATATATTACACGAAACTCCTCTACATCCGCGATCTCTATGCCCCTTCGTACCCACTAACCTCACCATCCATCCACCGTCTCGAGGATCATCTACACATGGCACTGAGACTACCTCCATCGAAGTTACACCTTATTCGTTACATGATTTGAGCCAGTCACTAACCACGTCTTCAATTACTGACGCAGCTGAATGCAGCAAACGCACGATCAAAAAAATTCACAGAAACTTGCGACAAGTTCGAAGACAATTTGGAAGCGTCCATTTCCTTCCCCACCCCCAACGAAAAAATGTATTGGTCGAAGACGAAAAATAAATCACCAGTACTAGAGGCACTCTGCGATCATCTGCTCGAAAAGCCCAGAATTGGTTTACCCCGGACCACCGCTGAGCGTTATGCAGGCTACAACAATTGCGTAAATGGATGATTGTGCATTCCCGTTGTAATCTCCGAAGCTTCCTCAGCGGCGAAATTTGAGCCTTGTTTGATAGACCCGTCTTTGTCCCTAGTTTTACCAGTGAAAGGGGTGGGGGTACTCATTAGACCCAGATGTCGCTCTCCATTAAGGTGGTAAAAAAGGCTGTGCCGGCGTTGGTAATCGAGCCCAATTCCCGCATAATCAGAGTGACCACCCTAGTTTACTTTGCTTGGTCATACCTCATATCTGGTCCGTTTCTGAGACCTTCACGCTTCTCCGTTCCACCCAGTAGTTCCTTCCCGCTGAAAATATATTTGGTTCTAGTCATGAATCTGCCGATTGATCCACGTTGTGATGTGACCCAGCTTTGGTAATTGTGAAACCCAATCATCAACTGAAGGGAATAGTCACCGGATATGCTGTCTGGTGTGAATGGCTGACCGGCGGGTACATTGCGGAACCTGCACATCATAAGCTACGCTCAATCCACCGAACACCAGGAATGAGGAGAAGCAGAAGAAGAAGAGAAAGATAGTGGTGAAATGGATAATGAAGGGGAGGCAGCATAACGAATCATGTATCCGAAAGTAAAAGAATATAGGAAGATAGGCTTACCAGTTCATAGTTTTTGAATCATCGACCGGGATGTACTTGCCATTTTCAAGTCTAGGCTCCGGCTGGGTCATGGCGGATTCACCAGTCTTTTGCGCGACAGAGTGACAGGACGCACAAGATGATATGAAATTATCCGCTGTGGTTGGTATGGTCAGGACAATTCTTGAATCTGGAGAGCAGGGGGAGGAGCTCGCACCGGGCCCGTTCAACCGTCCATTCCAACCCCAGCTAGGCCGAGATCCTGCTAAAGAGACTCGTAGAGTTTCGGCTTTGGGATTGATCCATGACTCTGCTGGTTTAGAGCCTTGGTTGAAGGCAGCCTGGTTCATAAGTGGGTCGTTGCCCCACATTATACCCACAGGGATAATACGGTTCCATGCCTGAGCTCCATTCAGTATATACGCCTCGACTTCGAGAACGTTCCTTACATTGCTTTCATGTTTAGTGCCGGTATACATGAAAGTACCAAAGATCCAGCCAATTGGAGACCTGTCATCTCGGACTGCAAAATCGACTTGAAGTAATCGAAGGTCAGAGGCGAAGGTATTTCTCACCGCTGGATCAGCCGCATTTTTAGTCGGGTCGCTGGCAGCGGGGGCGATAACCTGATCATTGGCATTTGTAAAAGGGGCCTCTGCACAATTCGGTTAGAAAGCTACTCACTGCTTTCATAGATGGCGAGCCTTCCATATTAGGAAGCTCTTGATCCGTGGCATCGGTCAGGAGCACCTAAAGTGTTGCTTCTGTCAGTGTAATGGGCTAAAGAATAGATGGCTCCCCCACCTTAAAGACACATGTTCCGAGGGGGAACATTTGGTCTTTGTCCCACTGTGGGGTACTAGGATTACCCCACACACTCCCAAACAAGGAGGCCCCTGTAATGTTTCAGATTTGTACTATTCTTATTGAGTGTAATCCCTTACCGGCATTGTTGTAGTAGCTGCAGGCCCAAGTTTGTAGATATCTATGCTGTGTCCTTGAAAACTCATACGGTGGTGTTGCCCTTTCGAATGTAAGCCCATTCAAAGGCTCCCTCCCATAAGAGGAGTAGTGCATCCAGGGTGCATGATACCAGTTTCTTATCTAGAGAAAGAGTGTGAGATCAAAGGCCGTCTAACAGGGTGAGATACGTCACTTTGTTTCTTTGCACAACAAAACCATTGTTCTCATTACCTTCCCAGCAATACTCTTTGACCAGCTGACAGTATCTTTCAGGGTCTGACTTGAAGTCTACCGTGAGCCATGGGGCTTCTTGGTCTAAACCTCTGCCTGGCAAAGGGAGTTCAGGACCAGGAATCATTGGGATACCAGCCAATTTTACTCCTTGGGTTGATGCCTGTCGAGTTGTGTTTGGATAATCGTTCCGGATTTTCCAGACTTCACCTGTCCAGTTTAGGGGGATAGGGTGAGAAGATGAGGTGTGGAATTGTTCTTCCGCCGCAGAGACGTCTTCAGCGTCACCGCGACGAGGGTTATTTGCAGTGAATCCAGCTGCTCCAATTCCGGTACTCGCGATGGCAAGACGCCTAGCCGTGAGTCGATAGAAGAACGAAGATGACATTCTGGAGGAGGAAACTGTATAGAATTTCGAATTCAGCCCAGAGCAAAATTTTTTGGGTTGTTCTGAGTGTCTATAGGAGCAAATCTAAATAGGAAGCTTTCGAAGGCCTTCAAAGGAGAGTCTAGACCAACTGGTTGTCCAGAACCTTCATAATTGTTTAATTGTTCCAGGTGACGTTCCAAATGCGTGTAAAACGACTGCGAGCGGATTGCTTGAGATCTTCTGAGCATCACCATGAAGTATACTATCTCTCCGAGGTTGCGTGGCCGCTATACCTACTGACGTCATCTTCCTATAACCAGCCATGTCGCTTTTCTCAAATGACCCCCTAAAGTCGGCAAAATTAGGCGCCCAGCCAACCGGATTCACTCAGGGTTTGTGGGTTCTCGCACAAAATCCCCAAGTTAAGGGGGTGTGGGTGGGTTGGGGCCATGGTTTTATTAGGATCTGTCGGAATCAAAGAGATGGGGTTGTGTTCAAGGTAACCCCATATGGCCTAGCGTCATTTCGCTCACAAGCTGAGAAACAGTGTGTGTGTCGGAGGGTAAACTGTTATCGAACTCAACTGTAATCAAAAAGCTCTTGAATCAGCTTTCAACAAGCCCACAAAGCCTTTTAATTCGTGCTTTAAATCAACTTATCAAAGGTTATGAAATCACGATGCAAAACGCGAATATTCTTGCACAAGAAAACCGCGATTTACGTGCTGCCAACGAGAAGCAGAAGCGGAAAAGGCTCGATCTAGGCAACAAATCGTTCGATCTGAAGGTTTAAGTGTAGCTGAATTTGAACAATTGACTCAAACCGCTATGATACCTCAAGTTCAACCTCAAAATATCGAGTCAACCGGTCAACCACAAGCTCGAGAATCGCGACCTCGAGCTCCACCAACGTGCTCAGAATGCAATATTCGGGGGCATAAGAGAACACATTGCCCAAATTTAGTTCAATAGCTTATATATTCAATATTATATTGTTTTGGTTGATTTACATTGATTTGAATTATCAAAATTTGATGAGGTGCGCAGCTCGCTTACCGATTACGTTGGAAGGTTCCATGCAGATTTAGCAGACAAGGCGACCGTTGGCAAATTTGTCAACAATTCTCTTCATCTCTCGGTTGCTTCGCTGCAGAGGGCCTGGCGCTTCCTTGGGGTAATCTCGGGTCACGTTGATAGGCAAGGCTCGACAGCTAAGAATTTTTTTGCGAGCTCCGCCATTGCTTTATCATCATGCTGCGGCTTCGGGTCTTTGAGGGGTAGCCTAGAAGGTCTTGGGTTGAATTTAGGGTTAAACCTATGATGCTGAGCGTGGTCACTGGTCAGAGACCTCGGGGTGACCACGCCGATGGTTATTCCGCGCCGAGATTTCTGACCACGACCAACTTGGTTCTAGCCACGACCAGCTGAGACCCCTTTAACGCATATGGTATGCAAATATGGGTCAAACCTTTGATATTTTCAGAGCACTCCCTTCCAGAGTTCGGTGACTACTTCGAACCCTTCTTGATAGCGCTTGATCACTGCGCCATCCAGGCTCAACAAGATGTCTTGCAAATTCTTAATTCGTTGCATGTCTTGGTCAGTTACTAGAAAGGTCAACTTATTCCGAAGTTCCGATAACAGCATGGTACATCTAGATTTCCATTTTCCGTTTGCATCGAATTTATAGAATTACAAAGTTTTTCTTGTAATTGGGTAAAATTTCGTATTGTGTTCTTTTGATTCGCAATTTTTCTAATGCATGACGTCTAGACTCCGACTCACGCAGTACCCTGGAAATAGAGAAAAATTTGCTCTGCTGCTCACCTTTTGCAAAATATTTCAGGATATAATGCCCTAATCTCGGCTTTTTAACAGTTTCTTATAAAGTACACGTCTCCATTGGGAAAACATTGTCCAAGAAAATGAATGAGATTACTCCCGGTCTATATATTCGTTCCCCAGATAAGGAATGTGCTAAAGCACCATTGAATATCATTTCCAATCCACCTGAAGGATTCACATTGAGGACAGCATCTGATAACGATATCCTTGAGCTTGGCAATAGTAATGTTAGCATAAGTCCGTCCAGAATATCCCTACCGAGACCTCTTCTTGCGACGACAATGGCGGTACTTGTTACAGACCAAGACGAAGACGAATTCGTGTATCATTAACAAGACCAACTAAACTGGAGAAGAAGAAGAAGAGAGAAAGAGGGAAACGAGCATCTACGAAACAAAACCACTTCTATCCCAAATCGGTAGCCCAACGGCTCTTTCCAGATCACGTTCCCCCTCAGGCCTGTCAGCATGAATATCCCCCGGCATAAAGGAGAATGTGTTATTCCGCGTGTTTGTTGCATTTGCACATCTATTCCATAACGTGGTCGGTAAGCGAGTGGGCTATGTAAGTGAGTGGCCACCCAACCCACTTTTCTACACTTTAATGCATTTATATTAACCAAAACGCCTTTATATTAATTAATCTCTAGCTTTATATATATTCCTTCTATGTCCGATCTGTCCGCAATTAGTGTATCGCGATAGACGCCGCGTCTTTAGTGCCTATGTATCCCGCGGTAGTAGGCTTAGTGGAACTAATATTACCTATAAGGGCTCCTTATAAGTCTCCTCGAGCTATAGTGCCTCTCGTACGGATAGACTATTATTATAGGCTATCTATTTAGTTATTGAAATGGGAACGGCTCGATGGCTGTCTGGCGATGCAGACTGGACAACACACACACACACACACACTGCCTGTCTGGTGTAGAGGATGCTGGGTGAGGCCGTACTGATGCCCTGTTACGGCCGTGCGGGATAATCTTAATGCTGTATTATGGATAGAAGAAATTGGGTGAATCCTGAATGAATTAGGTAGATGACTTGTCTCCCTCTAAGTGTGTCTGGAGATGTACTATGCACTGCAGATATTAAATTATGCCTAAGGCCACACATAGGCTTATTATGTCACTAATTCTCCCACTATATACTACCCCTCCCTATAAAATTAACCGTCCCGTGGTTAAGCGCAGTTAATTTAGAATGCCTAAGCCACTTTAACAAAAGCAAAGAAAGACAGGACTATAATACCTATTCCCTATCGCCGCGGATATTATATCTCTTCCTCGTTATTATTATCCTCCGGAGGTGTAACTTCTGGATCAGGGGGACTAATATATAGCCCTAATATCTTACGGTGGAAGAAGGAATCTTTCCCGAATGCTAGCTTCTCCGCCTTAATTATATTTCTGAATAATTAGGCGTATATTTGCTGCGCCTTCCTCCTCTATAAGATAATATAGGCGGTCGCTACTGCTTTATTCGGTCCGAAGAGGATATCTAACTTAGCCGAAATACTAGGGTCTATCTAGCGGCTGCGACTAACTAAGTATTTAGAGATTAAACCTTCCCCGCGGAATCGTGGCGCTATAGGGAATATATACTGCAGATAGCTATGTATACTGCTCGTAAGCCCTAATAGAGTTCTTAGAGCTTACGTGAGGTCTCGGTGTGCCGTAGACACTTCTTTTTACGTACCGGACTTTAGAGTATCCAGAGTTAAGTGGTTATCTCTGATATATATAAACTATAGTAAAATGCTTCTCCGCCTCTTAGTTACGGGGCCCGTCGACCTATAGGGGATACTAGGCAAACTAATTCGGATATCACTAGCTATATAGATCTCCTTTACCTAGTTAGTGCTATATCGCTTAGTATCTTCTGGGGTCTAAAGGTGATTATTAATCTTTTACATAAAGCTATCCGTAGTGTTCGTCCTATCCCGCACGAGAGCCCACCACTTCTGAATATAGCGATATATACTAAGTAAAATCTTAGTATAGTTCTGTTTATCTTTATTATCTAATACTAGACTGCCTTATAGGATTGCGCTACCTTGTCTAGTCTGCACTAGGTTATTCAGATTTATATTAATATACCTAAAATAAGTCTGTTTCTTAGGCATAGTACTCTTTGCGTAGTACGGGAAGGAGATCAGTCGGTAAGCGTAGTCTGGCCGGAAGAAAATATAGCACGCATAGTACGCTAGATCCTAACGGATAAGCTATTAAATAATGCTATGCTATATATTTCTTAACCACCTAAGGCGAGGCTTACCTATACGAGATAGATAGTGGTAGTTATATATATCTATCTCCTTATATATAAGAGCAAGAAGGCCACTTAGGTGATGCCTATCGAAGTCCTCCTTTAACTAGCCGAACAACTACGGAATAACCACACTCCCTCGCTCTTATATTTATAACTTTAACGTAATAGGTATAGGCGTCGTGGGGTCGGGAGTAGGAGATACCCTATAGTAGAGGCTTTCGAAGAATAACTAAGTTACCCTGCGATAGTCGGCGATAATAGGAGGATTAGCCTAATACTTAAAGCGATAGAAATCTGATTATAACTTATTAGTATCTGATAGAAACTACGTCCGGTTCTCCTTTACTATAGTGTCTTAGTCCTTAGTGTGTCGGTAAATAAAATTAATTCGTATCGCTAGTGCCGCGTGGTCCTTACTAGCACTACGTATATCGAATAATTCAAACACTCTCTTCGTATAAGGCAGACAGATTATATTCTTAGTAAAGGTCGAATCTAGTTCCGGAAGGGACAGCTTTCTAATACGCCTAAGTGCTACTAACTTTTGTCTATTCGTAGTGTCCGTAAGAAGGGCCAGAGTCTTATTTATAGCTACTCTTTAGGCGGTATAATCGTATTTAGTAGTCTCCTTTCTCTCCTACGAGGGGTTATATTCCTTATCACTTTCTAATAAGTAGTCGTTAGGAAGTGACTAGGCCACAGAAAGATCAGAGACCACACTAGATAAGTCGCTAATAGATATTAGGTCGGCCATATATTCCTTATCTGACTCTTTAAGCTATATCGCTATATCCTATATATCGTTAGGTATAATACTCTTAGGATTATGGTTATCTATCGCTTTAGTATTAGTATTAGCCTTATTCTCTATCTTAACTATAGTAATAAAAATAAACTGTCCTAA